GATCCAAGTAAGAGAACAGATACAGGAAACAAAGGAGCAAGTTCTGCTGAAAAGGGACTTTGGATCTGGAAGAAAGAGTTTGAGGTTTCAGGTTCCTCCATTACTTCTGTCTAACATGGCTAGAAACTGTGAAAGGGAAAAACTTGCTGATCTGTGATTTCTGATGTGGTACTCATTTGGATTGTTTAGTCTTTTTTCTTTTTTTTTTTTTTTTAATCCTGTCTCCCTTACTTCACACAGAATTACGAACGACTACAGCTGATGAATGAGGCATTTGCAAAGCATAATAAAATGAGGAAAGAATGTGAGAATGGAAGAGGTACTCTGGAATTGAAAGTTTTTTTTGTTTGTTTGTTTTATTGTGGGTAAAAAGGACATCTTGCTGTTTGCTAGTACGTTTTCTTTGTCTCCTTGTTTTCAGTTTGAGTAAAAACTACCCCTTAACATTTTATGCTTTAATTTTGGGGAGAAGAACTAAAACCTAGTTCTTGCACCCTTCCTTGTGCCCCAAAGACACCTTGAGTATTCATTCCCTTTTTCTGCTCAGCTAAACATTATTTCAGAATACATGCTTGGCTGGAAAGTGGGAAATGCAGTCTTTTAAGGCAGAGGAGAGGTTTGGGTGAAATTCTAACCCATCTGTGTTAGCATGGTAAACTAATCTGTGAGTGATAGCTGGGAAATAATCACCTGATGAACCTTCATAACTCACCAGGTAGGGTGGAGAGAGGCAGTTGTGGCTCTGAAGGCCTATTCACCTCGTTCACATAATTGTGGAACTTCTCCATGGCTGAAATTAAAGTTTTCTTGGTTTTTGTTTTCTGCAGGAGTTGTGCTGGGTTTATACTACTTAGTTCCTTTGCATTTGGGCTCACTGTTGCAAGATGAAAGCGATGAAGGACTCTTAGATCAAATATTTGGGAAATGTTTTTGTATGCTACAATATGAATCTTGTTTTTTAGTAGACTGTCACTTATCTGTCCTGCTGCTGCTATTAGAGCTTCCAGCTATCCAGACCAGAAGAAGCAGAAAAACAGGAAATGCTGCTGTTGATGATGCAGTATTCGCATTTACTTGACAGGATTTGATCGTCATCTTTTGGGTCTCCTACTCATAGCCCAGGAGCAAGGACTGCCAGTGCCAGAGCTTTACATGGATAATGCCTTTACAGCCAGGTATTTTGTATTCTTGTCCTGGGGGGAGATTGTATCCCTCGATACCAAGGATTTTGTTAGATTGGCCTCTTGCGTGCAGATTTCTTCATCTCTAGGATAAAGTCACTTTTTTTGTGAAACTTGTTTCAAATTACCCTTAAAAGTGCTGGGTTTGTTTTGTGTTGTTTTACAGTGGAGGAGGTGGGAATTTTGTTCTTTCAACTAGTCTGACTGGCTACACCAGGCTCAGTGGGTCTGCGCTCCCGATGGTAGAACACGGCTATGGCTTTTTTTACTCAATCAGAGATGACAGGTAAGGCTATAATTTTGTTTTTGAGCATGGTTCTGTCTGTCACAAACGGGGAAGGGCAGCTAAGAACTAGAATACAGAAAGGAAAAGACAAAAGAAACATGGCTGAACGTGTCAGGAAAGGTTAAGTGAGGTTCCTGGGAACGGAGGCATTGACAGTCTGGGAAAGCACGTGTGGGAGGAAGGACCAACAGTGGAGGTGAAATGGGCACCAAGGTACTGACAATAAGCCAAAAGGAAAGCGTGGGGAAGGTGAAAGAAGAGGGGGACAAAAGAAGGTAACTTACTTTAAAATAAACTTTCATTTAGAGATCATTAAATGTAGCATGGAAAGATGTTTTTTAAGAAGTAGCGATTGACTGAGAGAGAGCAGATAGCGATGGCTGGTGTGCGCTCCTGTGCCCTTCGGCAGCAGCACACACATCTCCTGACTCGAGCCAGAACTCCTTTAGTAACAAGGAGAGGCTGAAAAATTTGGCTTGACTTCTCATAAAATGGTAGGATTTGAAAACATCCAATTTTGGCTTATTGGTCTTATGTCAAAAATTACTGCTTCTTTATCAAATCTAATAAACTACTTTGATTATAATGTGTTGAGATAACTTGCTGTTTTGTGATTTAGGTGTAATTTGAATGACTTCTTTCTAAAGCTAAAAATGGACTGTGTGCAGATTTGATTGTTTGAGAATACAAACTATTTATACTTTGATCTATGGCTCTGTTAAAATAAATAGAACCAGATAAAGATTTAGCTTTTATGAGGTAGACAGAAAACAGTACTTTAAACTTGTTGCACAGAAGAAATATAATTCACGGTATTTTCAAATATAAGTGAAAGGCTATGCCACTGCATGTAGAAATGGGTATTTAAATCAAAATACCTAGTTTCAAGGTGTGTTAATGTTATTACTTATTGCAGGCACTAGGGATCTGAGTCTTTTTTTTTGAATGTTGGGACGTAATGTTTGTGTGACAATTTTTGCTTCAGGATTTGTGTCTGTAGTTTCACATTTCAGGGCAATTTGTGTGATTCTTATCCTAGACCATGACAATTAAGAGTGGTAACTTCATTGTTTGCTATATTGGTAGGATCCTTATTACCTGTTCTTCTTGGAAGTCGTGTCCCGAGACTGATGCAGAAGTGCTGTGTAGAACCGCGTTCCAGTGCTTTCAGGACATGCTGCAGTTGACAGTCGCAGCTCAGCTGTGAGGTTGACAATGATGTAAAAGCCTTTGCAAGTTCATGAGTTACACGTAGTACTTATAAATAAAATGCTACTCAAGAGTACTGTTATATTCAGGTTAAGACATCTAGTGATCTATGTGAAGTCTACCTATTTTTATGGGATTTACTGTGGTAACGGTATCCTTTTAAGAGTAATGTAGCCATTTGCAACAACAATGCAAGCAGTAGTACCTTATCTATGTAGAACTATGCAAAAATAAAATATGCCTCAACAATGCAAATGTACTTGAGAGAAGGGGTGTTAGAAGGGAGGAATTTATGGGAGATTTGTATTTATGATCTTAGTAGTAACAAGTAGAATACTCTGTAGTTCACTGATAGTGTTTATGCCAGTGGAGCACTCAACTGCAGACTGAAGGTAACCACACCATCTCGTAGGTGACTATGCTTCCTTTCATAGTGGTTGATGAAGTAGAAGGGTTGCCTCCATCAGGCTGTATGTTATTTTCTAAGTAATCTTTCATTTTTGCTATTGGGATTATGCCAAATAAACGTATTTGTGAATGGGGATGTTCCCGCTGCACTCGTTGTATGAGAGCACTACAATCTGAAGTATTTTGAAGAAGGAGCTCTCAATAATAAAGACAGAAAGCAGTGTATGAGTTCCAGATTCCTCAGAGTTTTCATCTTTTGGTGAACTGTGAATATCTGCTGCTTTACACTAATAATACTTTATAAAAGTAAGCACTGAATGCAGTTTGATACAATTCTCAGGATTTTAAGACTTGATTCTTCTGTTTGAGCAGCTCTGTATCGTCCTGCCATAGAAATAAAATTCTTCTAAAAATCAGCTTTGTGTTGATTGATTGATTTATGGGTGTACTGTTCAATGCCTAGCAAGTAAAGCTTGTGAAAGAGAGATGATGTTGGGGACAGATGAACTTGAAATAGAGATTCTAAAGTGCAGATTGTTTTATCTTTTCTCTGCTTTTTGGAGTTGAGATAATAACCCACTCTTTCTCAGATATTTTTTGAAATATCTTGGTTAGTGAAATGTGTCTTTATGATGCTGTGAGAGAGAATTTATATTTTTTAAAAAAAAAAGTAAAAATAATCAGGCATAGCTTGGTTCAAAATCCTAATCTATCTGATAAGTTAGAACATTTTGCCTTTCCATTGGGGTAGTAAACCTGGTTGCAACAGTGACAAGGACACTCATTTCAAACAGCCTGAAATCTGGTGAAGTGTGTAATTTTGCATTTATTTGCATTTATTTTCCACACACCTACCCCTGCCCCTGGGGATTTCTGGGAGCATAGAAATACTGGCAGAAATATGGAAAAAGGAAAACTATTTCAGCAAGTGTGTTATTGAGAAAATGTGATTCAGTCACTGGTGTAAGCAGAATTGCCTGTTCAGGTGGGAGGGTCTGTGCCTTGCCTGGAGGAACTGGAGACTGACAGAAGTGTCTACCCAGAGAAAACTAAATTAAATTCTGTGAGCTGTTAGAGCTGCTCGTTGTGTGCTGTGGATGCCTGAATTCATGAGCGTGGTGCTGACTTCCTTGTTCTTAGGAGTGAAGCATTTTTGATTTAAAGTTACCAGGTTTATGCTCTATGGACCATCTGGGACTAAACATAAAGTGTTAGTAACTTATTTGATTTTTTTTTTTTTTTTTCTTGTGTGGGTTTTTAAAAACATGTAATTGATGAAGAAGGAGCACAGTGCAGTAGGGGCTCTCCTTTCACATCAGGCTGGTTGGGCTGTTGAAGTCCCAGTGCTGTGGGTGCTGGCCTGTGTGTGCACAAACAATAGCTGCTCTTTCTTCCCAGAGGTGGCTTTTCTGAAAACTTTTTCGACCTCTTGCTGGTGTGTGTCTCGCTGCCAGAGTCCTCGTCGCTCACATCAGGGAGAATGCAAAGTTATCGTGTAGTTATGATCAACCTGTAAAAACACAACCCCTGAGACCTGGACAGGCAAACAAGCGCTTGTCCCTTTTTCACCCACATCCCAGCTTGCTGCTCTCCCCAGGCTGGACACTGCTTTTCCCTATCCCCAAAAGACCAACCTCTTCTGTCTCCAGGGGCTTTGCCCTCAAACCTTCTCCCTCGCATACCTTTGAGGTACACACCTCCCTTCTCCAGGAGCACCCATGCCAGGGGCTCCAGAGCTGATCTTGGCACCTGGAGAACAGAAGGGCCATCTCTGCCCAGGGCTTTGTGGTTCAGCAGGGCTTTTTCATGGCTGCTGTGTAATCTTCAATTTTAGCATCTGTGAATTTTTGTGTGGGTGGAAGAGGGTTGGGTTCTTGAAGCTAATGTATGTCAGTCAGTTATGGGGTTTAAGGAAACTATTTACAGAATTCTGCCAAGACCAGGAGCAGTGAAACATCCTTAATAGTCTCATCCAAAGCACAGAACCAGCTGTACAGCTCCACTTCAGCAGCAGGTACTGCCCTATCACATGTTGCACGGCCTGCATTGAACATTGACCAGAGAACAGTAGATGCCTTTTTCAGCCAGGAGCTGCCAATAGATCCCTTGCCCTCTGGACCATGGTGGTGAGCTATCACGATGCAGGTGCAGCCTTCTGGGGCTTCATCCAGAGCTTCCTGGACAGTGAGCAACCAGAAGGTGAATTAAAACCAAGTGCAGCAGCTGTTTCCACCTGTGGTGCCCGAGTCCCTTATCTGTTACGTTACCTGTGATGGAGCAATGACAGATGTGATGTTTCTGTGGCCTTGGAGGTGAGACACCGTGACCCCTGATGTCTGGTTCGGACCCCTGTGTGTACACCTTGGGTTGGGGACAGGGACTGCTTGCTGGTGTGTGTGTGCATTTGTATTTTCACTTGCCCCTGGGGTCAGGTCTCCAGCCTGGCCCTTCCTGACTGCCACAGGCAGGTCACAGGTGCTCAGTTTTAGAAATTGTCCCCAATAAATTGGTCTGGCTCGTTTGACAAGCCAGGCACTTTCACACTCAGCGATATGGAAAACTGCTCCCCATTTCAGTCCTGCTCATTAAATAATTACAACTTAAGCCTTCAAACAGTTCCATTATAAAATCGTGGATAATTTTGTATTCTAGTTTGTAGGCACTAAGTATGGTGTACTTAGTCCACACGCTTTTACACACCCCTCCTTTTTTTTTAAAATACTCTGAAGGTTACAAATTCTTCAATGTTACCTGATGTTCTGGGCTTTGTGGCGACAAAGATGGCAAATATTGCAATAAAATTATTTTAGAAATTGATAATGCTGAATTGCTTTTGGGATTGAGAGTGGGGTTGGTTGGTTGCCTCCTGTTGGCATGACCAGCCAACTTGCAAATCCCGGTTCCCCTCTGCAAAGCCAAGGCATCCTGGATCCAGTGCAGAGGTTGCCTCATGTAACCAACAGCAGGATTTGGGGCTGCTCTACCGGAGCTGGGGCAGCAGCAAGGCATGGCTTCTGACCACCACGGAGCTGGGTTCCTTTGTCTCCCACAGGTGTATGTATTTCTAGACACAGGAAATATACACGAGCCTAAACCTCATGTATATATATAGGGTTTAGACCTAACCCCATGCTGTGTGATGTTTGAGCTGCTTTTCCACCGAGTGACAAGTCTGGGGCAACTCCTTCCCCGCTCGCCAGGGGAAGTGTGGGTGAGGAGCCTACATGCAGGACCTGAGCTGGGCACCACGTTTCAGAGTGTGTTTCACAGCAGAGCCAGCCCCTCAGATGCTGAGCAAGAGCAGTGCCGTGTGTGTTGGAGTGGGAGCAGAGGAGATGATGCCCAGCCATAGGACAAGAGGAAATGGCCGGAGCTGGGGCAGCAGCAAGGCATGGCTTCTGACCACCACGGAGCTGGGTTCCTTTGTCTCCCACAGGTGTATGTATTTCTAGACACAGGAAATATACACGAGCCTAAACCTCATGTATATATATAGGGTTTAGACCTAACCCCATGCTGTGTGATGTTTGAGCTGCTTTTCCACCGAGTGACAAGTCTGGGGCAACTCCTTCCCCGCTCGCCAGGGGAAGTGTGGGTGAGGAGCCTACATGCAGGACCTGAGCTGGGCACCACGTTTCAGAGTGTGTTTCACAGCAGAGCCAGCCCCTCAGATGCTGAGCAAGAGCAGTGCCGTGTGTGTTGGAGTGGGAGCAGAGGAGATGATGCCCAGCCATAGGACAAGAGGAAATGGGCACAAACTGGAATAGACCAAGTCCCACCTCAACATGAGGAGGAACTTCTTTGCTGTGAGGGTGGCAGAGCCCTGGCAGAGGCTGCCCAGGGAGGTGATGGAGTCGCCTGCTCTGGAGACATTCAAACCCATCTGGGCATGTTCCTGTGCGACCTGCTGTGGGTGGACCTGCTTTGGCAGGGGGGGTTGGAGGAGATGATCTCTGGAAGTCCTTTCCAACCCCATGGGGTTCTCTGTGATTCTGTGAGTGCCGGGTGTGAGAGCGAGGTTGTGACACTGCCAGGAGCCAGCCCAAGGCTTGGCTTAGCACCAAGCAGCCTGAGCATTCAGCTCTTCTTTCACCACCCTGGTTCTCCGTAATTCTGAAGAAAACTCAGCCTGAGATATATCGGGAGGGATTTAGGATCAAGGAGAAGCCAGTCAAATTCAAACTCACGTTTGCCTGGCGCTTTATTTTAAAGCTGACACAAATTTACTCAAGAAATTTTATTGCAGCTCTTTGCTTCCCCCATACCTGCTTTGTGAACAAGGTACTTCTCTCATGCAAGGGATGAAGCTTTGCTGGGAAAACCCACCGATCTCCTAAGCGTGTGGGAATTTATTGACTGAGAAACGTTTGTCCTAGCTCGTATTTTCCACACGAGTGAGCTGACAAGCAGGTGTTAGCTTGAGCCCACCAGTTCAGACAGCAGGCAGGACTAGCCTTTGCTTGCTTTCACCTGCCAGAAGCTGCTCAGAGCAGATCAACTTCTGGGATTTTTTTTTTTTTTTTAGGTAGCATAATTATTCACAACCGATGTAGAAAACCTGAAGCTCCTTTTCCCTCCAAGGTGCTTTTCATTTTGCAGCAAAAAGATCCACCCTACCCAAGACTCGGCTCGTCACATCAGATGCAACCAGGAGGTAATGACAGGGGATCATCTCCCTGTACCGGGCACTGGTGAGGCCCCACCTCCAGGGCTGTGTCCAGTTTTGGGCCCCTCACCACAAGAAAAAAAGACATTGAGGGGCTGGAGCGGGTCCAGAGAAGGGCAGCGGAGCTGGTGAGGGGTCTGGAGAACAAGTCTCCTGAGGAGAGGCTGAGGGAGCTGGGGTTATTCAGCCTGGAGAAGAGGAGGCTGAGGGGAGACCTTATTGCTCTCTCCAACTCCCTGAAAGGAGGGTGTAGCCAGGGTGGGAACAAGGAACAGGCGATGGGACAAGAGGAAATGGCCTCAAGTTGCACCAGGGGAGGTTCAGATTGGAGATTAGGGAAAATGTTTACATGGAAAGTGTTCTTAAGCCTTGGAATGGGTTGCCCAGGGAAGTGGTTGAGGGGCCATCCCTGGAGGTGTATAAAAGATGGGTTGACGTAGTGCTTAGAGACATGGTTTAGTGATGGTTTTTATCAGAGTTAGGTTGATGGTTGGAGTAGATGATCTTAAAGGTCCCTTCCAGCCTGGACAATTCTATGATTCTATGAAATAGGGAGAAACAGGAAACAAGGAAAGGGAGAGAAGAGAGTGGGAGCAAGGTGGTGGGTTTCTGCCTGTTTTCCCAAGCCAGCTCTGTGTTTGACTTCACACATCTGGCTAATCAGATGTCGAGAAAAGGAGGGTGAGACCAGTTCTCCCTGGGCTGCCTTAGCACTTCCCTGTTGCTTTCACTTAATGGAAGGAAAGTTCCTCTTTTTCAGTGCTTTCTGTGTGTCGGTTGCTCCATGCTCTTCCATCTGGAATGACTTGCCCAAGTACCAGCACCACCCAGGTTATTTTATTAGCAGAGACTTCTCCTGCAGGGGTGAAGATGCCTGCCATTCAGGTGTCTGCAGCAACGAGCTTGAGCAAATGCCTGAAGCCACTGTCACCTCCTGGCTCCCTGCTCGCCCTTCAGCTCTTCTGGGAGGAAAACCCCTCCCCGTTTCAATGTCTGACGCAGTAGGTCACAGGAATGCTGTTATCCTGCAGGCACTTAGCAAAGCACCAATCGGCAATGTGTTTCTGGTTGCAAGTTGGAAATGAGGGGCTAATTACCTTTGGTAGGGATCAACGAAGGGAAGAGTATTGGCTGCTTCTGGTGACCTGGCAATCCCCTGGTGTGACACCCGCCAGCTGTCACCCTGTCACCCGCACACGGTGTTTTCAGCTGTGGTGCAGTCCACGAGGGTCCATTCTTGTGAGACAGCACCAACCTGAGCTCTCAGCCCCTGGAGATCTACTGTCTTTTCATTTTGACCACCCAGGAGTTAAAAAGTCAGGAACACAGTACTTTATAGATGGTTGGGTTTTATTTCATGGGATTTTTCTGTTTGTTTGTTTGTTTGTTTTAATTTAGCTACATTAAGGCCTTCAGCAGGCAGGGCACTGAGGCCATTTCATGCCCTGTGTCTGTTAATTTAGCCGCTCACATGTGGCAGCAGAGAAGGGGAGATGAATGTGAAAGCCAAGTTATATTTGCAATAGATCCAATATTAGACATTGTTATCAACCTTGAAAGACTTGAAACCACTGTATTGCACCCCGCTTGTTTATCACCCTAACTACAACAGATCTACTTTCTCTGCCACCTTGCTGTCAGTACTAGAGACATTTGGTGGTGTCACGCTGGTGACCCCATACCTTCCTATACACTGTTGGTTACTAAAGTGTGTGATAAACTATTATGGACAACTTGCACTTTTGAGTTATCCCTCAAAAAATCTGGTTCAATATTAGGGGGCTAGTTATACGTTCAAGTTGCACTTCTGAGGAGAAGGATCTGAGGGTCCTGGTGGACAGTAAACTCTCCATGAGCCAGCCATGTGCCCTTGTGGCCAAGAGGCCAGTGGGATCCTGGGCTGCGTAGGGAAGAGTGTGGCCAGGAGGTGGAGGGAGGTCATTCTCCCCCTCTGCTCTGCACTGGGGAGGCCACAACTGGAATCCTGCGTCCAGTGCTGGGCTCCCCAGTTCAAGAGAGACAGGGAACTGCTGGAGAGAGTCCAGCATAGGGCAACAGAGATGATGGAGGGATTGGAGCATCTCCCTGATGAGGAAAGGCTGAGAGAGCTGGGGCTCTTGAGCCTGGAGAAGAGAAGGCTGAGGGAAGACCTTATTAATGCTTCCTAACATCTAAAGGGTGGGCTGAAGGAGGATGGAGCTGGACTCTTCTCAGTGGTTCCCAGTGACAGGACGAGGGGCAACGGGCACAAGCTGGACCATGGGAAGTTCCACTCCAATGGGAGGAAGAACTTCTTTGGGGTGAGGGTGGCAGAGCCCTGGGACAGGCTGCCCAGGGAGGGTGTGGAGTCCCCTTCTCTGGAGATCTTCAAGCCCCTCCTGGATGCTCCTGAGTGATGTGCTCTGGGCAGCCCTGCTTTGGCAGGGGAGTTGGACTGGATGGGCTCTAGAGGTCCCTTCCAACTCTGACAATTCTGTGATTCTGTGATTCCATGATCTGTGCTCAGGTAGACTCATGTAAGAAAGTCTTGACAAATCATCTCTGCTGCATTAACCCTATTTCCACTGGCTCTTAAAGATGTTGCACCAAGAGACAGGTGAGGTTTTGGCATGAGAAGACATAAAGCAAAGCTTAGCCCCAATTTAGTCGGATGAGTCAGGTGTGAATGGGTTCGCACAGCACTTGTTCTGGGTAGCTATGATATGGGTAGGAGAAAAAAAAGAAAAACAGGCTTGGAATAAATTAGAGGAATATGCTATGGTGTGCGTAACACCATGCTTACTTACCAGCTGGAGGGGGCAGCTTTAGCAAGGGTGTGTAGCGACAGGGTGAGGGGTAATGGCGTCGGACCGAAAGAGGGGAGAGTTAGGTTAGACACCAGGGAGAAATTTTTCCCTCTGAGGCACTGGAAGAGGTTGCCCAGGGAAGCTGTGGCTGCCCCATCCCTGGAGGGGTTCAAGGCCAGGCTGGATGGGGCTTGGAGCAACCTGCTCTGGTGGGAGGTGTCCCTGCCCAGGGCAGGGGGATGGAACTGGATGATCTTGAAGGTCCCTTCCAACCTGAACCATTCTGTGATTCTATGAAACAGCATAAACAAGTAGGTAGCCAACTTTTTGGCTTGGGCATAGTCTGGAGTGAAAGAAATGCTTTGTCCTAGTGCCCTTGCACCAAACACAACTGCAGAAAACACTCTGTAAAGATAAAGAGGGGAAAAATATACTGACATTGATTTGGCAAAGGCAATAAAATCTTTTATGGGCAGATTAGGGGCTTCAGATAAATACTTATTAATAAAGGTGAGGTAGGATAAGAGCCGTCTATTGCAAACCCTCTGACTTTTTTTCTTACTGAGAAAATCCATACTTTGTCTCTGATTTTTTTTCTTACTGAGAAAATCCATACTTTGTTTGTCGGGAGGAGAGTAGCACTCTGTGCTTCCCTTCCCCGCCCCCTTGTCTGGGTTTATTAGAAACTGATTTCTGTTTCTCTTCTTAATGCATGAGATGTGGTAGGATGCATTGTGCCTTGCACCTCAGTTTCTTCATCTGTAAAATCGAAGGTATTAGCTGTGGAGCAGGCTGAGGATTGTGGAGAAATGTGCCATTCCACATTCCCTCTGAATGTCCCAGTCTTCCAGGAGCGATCGGGTCATTGAGTTCAGGTGAAAAAAGGTAAAAACAAATAGGAGACGAGAAAGAGCCGTGAACTCTGGGATGAGCAAAGGGCAGTAGGAGAGGATGTATACGAGGAGAAGGGATTCACTCGAACGTGTAGGGACAGGGGGGGTGATGCTGGTGTTTGAGACGGGGTTGGTGTAATGGGGATGAGAAGCTGCTGTAGCCTCAGCAGCATTTTTTGGCTGACAAGTGCTGAGAGCAGGCATGGGACGTGCACGGGAGAGAAGGTGTCAATGGACACATACAGACAGGGATTTCAGCTGCAGGGAGACAGGAGCTGATTAGATGCTGGAGATACGGAGGGAGGAAAGAGAAGGTTGGGAAGGTGCCAGCTGGTGGGAACAATGGACACAGCTCACTGCAAACACTCGGAGAAGCTTTTTCAGCTCAGGCTGGGCACTTCCCAGAGGGGGTGTTTGCTGAACCTTTCTCTTGCTCTCCACCTCTCTTGTTCCAGGGTTTATAATTTCCTCACCTCAGTTTCACTGGTTACTTGCTCCACTTACCTTTTAATCCTGTCCACCTACACTCCCCACAGCTAAGCCATGTGATTCTGTTGTTGCTACAGAAACCTTGTTGGCCATGAAAACAAGGCATGGCTTGGCTTTGCCCGTTTTCATGTTGCCTCCCTTTTACCCTGGGGAACCTGATTATGAGGGAAATTGTATGCAGGTAGCTAGATGCAGTCTGAAAGCATCACTCATTTTGGATCTGTAATAGTGTAAGGAAGGAGGGTGAACGTAAGGGTAAAGAATGGAAGACAGAAGTATTTATTGATTTTTTTTGTTCTGTATGCTATAATTTATTATTGTGTGCAGGTCTGGAGCCCTCAATATAAGAAGGACATGGACCTGATGGAGAGGGTCCAGAGGAGGCCCACGAGGATGATCAGGAGCTTGGAGCACCTCTGCTACGAGGACAGGCTGAGGGAGCTGGGGTTGTTCAGCCTGGAGAAGAGGAGGCTCCGGGGAGACCTAATAGCGGCCTTCCAGTACCTGAAGGGAGCCTACAGGAAGGCTGGGGAGAGCCTGTTTAGAAAGGCCTGCAGTGACAGGACGAGGGGCAATGGCTTCAAGCTGGAGGGGAACAGATTTAGACTGGAGATGAGGAGAGGGTTCTTCACTGTGAGGGTGGTGGAGCACTGGAACAGGTTGCCCAGGGAGGTGGTTGAGGCCCCATCCCTGGAGATATTCAAGGAGAGGCTCGACGAGGCCCTGGGCAACCTGGTCTAGTTGGGGGTGTCCCTGCTGACTGCGGGGGGTTGGACTAGATGGCCTTTGGAGGTCCCTTCCGGCCTGGGCAATTCTATGATTCTATGATTCTATGATTCTATGATTTCATAATATCTATAGAAAAATCAAACATACTCTCCTTACAAAAACATGCCCATTTCTCAACAGATAGGCACCAAACCTTCAATACCCAACATAAGTACATAATAGCTTGTGTAAAGGCAAAAGCAAATCCAAGGATATGTGCCTTCTTTACAGAATTTCTGTAATGGAAAAAACATATAATCACAATCATATTGTACATTCACTTGTAGAAATCAAGAATGTGAAACATATCCTACAATTCAAAGGAATCCACAAGTCCTTAGTATTTTAAAGTAAAATCATAGAATCATAGAATCATAGAACGGTTTGGGTGGGAAGGGACCTTAAAGATCATCCAGTTCCAACCCCCCTGCCCTGGGCAGGGACACCTCCCACTAGAGCAGGTTGCTTAAAGCTCCATCCAGCCTGGGATATAATAATCTCCAGCTCTTTGTAAGATTCTGACCTAAGACATCATCATTCTTATATGCTTCAGCTTCCTCTCTCTTTGTCTGCAAAATCTCAAACTATTGTGATGGAAGAAGAGATTGCTCCAGCTCTAAATATTTTGAGCACATACAATTGGCATTGTCTTTACGTCATACATTCAGTTATTTCAAAAAATTATAACACAGCTGCAATTCAGAGTTTCAACTGACACATCAGGAAAATCATCGAGAACTTTAAAATGTCTACAAAGGAGAAATTACTTGTTCAATAGAACAAATGTTTGTGCTTTGTCTTGCATTGAACCAAAGCAAGTGATAATTCATGAGGTTTCACATGGCCCACAGTAGTACTTGGATAGAGTAATAGAAGGAAAAAATAAAGGAGCTCTTGTGCAGGTCTACCCTTCTAGTCCATTCCTGAGGAAAATCCCATTGATTTTGATAGGAATCTTACCTAAACCTACAGGTAAAGACTGACTTTTGATCTGTTAAACAATAGATTCCCTCAGAAGAAAGAGCTTATGACTATTAAGAATTAATAAAGGCTTTCATTTGCAGAATTACAACAGCCAATAACAATATCATGGACACTTAGGAAAAAAATAAAAAGGTCCTTTAGAACATTACCTTTGGAACATTACTAAAATTTCAATAACACCAGCTTGAAGGGAAAGATTATCTGCATTTTTTATATCAAAGCTGAGTTTGGAATGAAAGATTTTATAACACACTGACAGAGACAAATTTTGATTCAGATTATTGGTGTTAATTTGTGCTCATTTTAAAAAGGAATATTTCAATATCTTTTGAGGGGGGGAAGCATTTTTAACCTGTGTGATGCTTGCAAACATTGTCCATATATAAGCTCAAATTTTCTTTCCTGAATCAAAGTAACAACAATTCGAATGTTTCCTACGGCTTCAGAAGCAACCTGTATTGGAGAACAGATATTCATCAGCAGAAAAATAAGATTATATGGAATTTTTTTAACATAATCCCATAAATAGAATAACTGCAATAGAAGTAGATATACAATACTGTTAAAAGAGTGATTGCAGCTTTTGTAGGTATGCTGCTGTTAAATATATCCAATTAGCATGGATTATAGCAGTGAAGTTGAGGCAGCACACAGTTCAGCACAGGTCAGTAACAGGAGTTTATTTTCCAGTGGGCTTGTGAAACCCATCACAAGGATGATGCCATGGGGCTGTCATCACTGCAGGACCCCAGGCAGGATAAACCCAAGGAGCCTGCATCACCTGCAAATGCCTTTGGAACTGCAGGGTAAACATATGTCCACATTTTCAAAAGCAACTCATGATTTTGAGCTCACCCTTACAGAAATTATCTTTCCCAGGGTGCAGTCTCAGCATTTCTGGAAAATCAGGAATTTTTCAAGGAGAAACTCAAAGCCACTGGCCATTCTTAAAAATGTAGAGACAGGCCTTTCTGGCCCATATGGCAGCTTGGCATCTAATTCCTGTCAATTTTATGTCTTTGAAAATCTACCTTTTTTGCCACAGAATTAAAAATAGTGGGGAGAAGTTTTTCGAGAAGTTTTTAAAAAATTTTAATGATGCTAGGCACTCAATCTTGATTGAAAACTAGTTAAAGTCTCATGCCTTAATTTTCTTAATGCCCACCAAATATTTAGGGGATTTACTTGTAGTTAGTTAATATAATCTTCAAATCTTCTAATAACAACAATTCATTTAGTCTTGGCCAAGATTGGAACAAACCAAAACTCAAAATGTAAGGCATCTTGGAAAGCAATTTTGTACAGCATTTTCATGTAGCACTATACTCACTCTAGCTCATAATTTTGTCCCAATTTACTCATTTATGGGAAAAGATAATTAGAAATTATCCACTGTATAGAAAGTCACCTAGGACCTGGGACTGAAGCTCAATTCTTTTTCACATACTGCCACCCATGTGAGATTTGTGCACTGTGGGATTCCACTACCTCACAGAAGCCCCCCATAGTGTCTGTACCACTGAAAATCACAGAATGATACGGGGTTGGAAGGGACCTCTGGAGATCATCTAGTCCAACCCCCTGCCAGAGCAGGGCCACCCAGAGCAGGTTGCACAGGAACGTGTCCAGGTGGGTTTGAATGTCTCCAGAGAAGGAGACTCCACCACCTCCCTGGGCAGCCTCTGCCAGGGCTCTGCCACCCTCGTGTGCTTGTAGATTGTACCAGGAGCCAACTGACTCCATTAGATACGAGTATGTCTAGTTCTGCTGCTTGTAAGAAAGGCATGAAATACATTTCCTCTCTCTTTTTACTATGTTGTTTCTGCACTACCTTTCACCAGGAGTAGTTTCTTTTTCTCTTTGGTATGTGAAGAAGGTGTTTCTCCATAGGCATTTTACCAGGAATAGCCCCTCTTTAAAAAAAGAGAAGTGTAGATTTTTATCTAGATCTAAAACAAGATGCTTGGGACTTGTTTTTCTCCCAGTTTGCTTGAGATGTTGGCAGTGAAACGTTTTGCTAAATTGCTATGGAAATACATATGTTTTAAATTTTGCCAAAAACTCGGGATCTGCAAAAAACTGTTTTGATTAATATAGTCTGCCAAAAGCAGATATTCAGGTTATCACCCAACAACCTTGTAACCATTCTTACAAATAGTCTCCAAGGAAGCTGGCATGAGATAATGATAATCAGCTGTAAACAATGTGACTATGAGATAACTTTAAAGTATTTCAGTGCAGAAGAATGCACTCAACAAGGTTACTTGTTTGGCAAAACTTTATAAATAATCAGTGACAGCATTTTGAATTTTTTCTTGATTACCCTGTCATGTAAAGATGAAGAGGTTTCTTTTTTATTTTTTTTCCCAGTGCATATATTCTCCTAAAAAGAAACCTCTTTTAGCATTTTTCTTTAGTGTGTAACAAAACACCTCCAGGCTTGTGAAAAGTCTGCCTATACTGTAACGGTACTTGGAAGAAAATGTGAATTTCAGCCCTCAAGTCAGCAAGAAAAAGGCAAAGCCTAGCAGCTCTGAACACGAGAGCAAACCTCCAAAAACTCAACTGTACCCATGTGCTTAGCAGACCTCTCCTTCTGCATCATTACTTCTGCATAGTAAGTAAACACTTAGACAATCTAAACACAAGACCACAACAGATGAAATAACATGAGGGATAAGATACTGAAATATTTAAATTATGTGGAAAAACTAACAGAACTACGTGTAAACATCATCTGGCTTCCCTACAAAGACCATCATCATATTTTCTTTACATCTATATTAATGATAAGAATAGATTTACAGGCAGGTAAAGTGAAATTTTGCTCTGCACAGTCAATTTAAATACGCTTTGAGGCTGAGAAGCTTCTCACTAAGAACTATATTGAATTTGTTCTTCTGAAAAGCAACTGGATGGTCAATTGTTTTGGATCGGTTCTTTGTTTTTCTAGTAGCCAACCTGGGGGCTCACAGAGGTTTCCCAGTTTACCTTCTGGTCCCTGCGTTACCCTCTTGTGCCTTTTCCTGTCCCTGGCACACTGCGAGCGTCAGCTGGGGCTGATAACTGTCCCGTGCAATCATGGTATGAGCTGGAAAGAGGCACAGAAAATAGATACCAATTTTAACCAGATCACACAATGATTGCACTGGATACTTATTTCAAGAGTGTTGTGAGACCTTGTTTGTTAAATTCAAGTTGCATTGTAGGACTCAGCTGCAAAATGTTGCAGAATTCACCAAAGATTGGTTAATTCCTTTGAATTCCCTTGACCCTTTGTCACACTTATATAGGGAAAAAAGTATTATTAGATAATACTTGTTTATGTGTGCCAGGGAACACATTCTGTGGATGCCTTGTGATTTGACCTTACAAGGAACCGTGGCTATGTACATTTATGCCAAAATTCCTGGCAGGCGAAACCAAGAGGAGTTTCCTTTCTTTTTATTTTAGTGTGAAAAGGACTAGGAGTAAACAACCCAAATAGTTTTCTACATCAGTCTGGAGGAATAGAAATGCCTCTGACAAACTTCCCTCATGTAGATTATGGAAAGAGCGAGTACGATTTGCTGTGCCCAGACTCCTCTGCTCGACTGACTGGGGTGTGATGGGGGGGAAGGAAAGGGCAGAAGAGAAGATCCCACAGGTGCTGCATGGCTTGGAGTGTGTCAAAACCCAGTCCCCACAGGGTTCACTCTGTCCTGAGACAGCACGTCTTGGGAGGTGGGGAAACAGTTCTCCAAGTTGTGAAATGAAGGAACACCCTCCCTCCTTGCTCCCACACTCCCGTTTTCCTTTGACACAGATTCCCAGGCTCCTGCTTCCCTTCCCGGCTGAGAGGGGAAGGAATGAGGATCAGAGCAGAGGATTGCAGGGAACAGTCAGCCACGCTGTCACCCTGATGTTTTCATGCATCATGAGTGTGACCAGCAGGTGGAGGGAGGTCATCCTGCCCCTCTGCTCTGCTCTGCCCTGGGGAGGCCCCATCTGGAGCACTGGGACCAGTTCTGGGCTCCCCAGTTCCAGAAGGACAGGGAAGTGCTGGAGAGGGGACAGCAGAGGGCTACAGAGATGATGAGGGGCCTGGAGCATCTCTCTTATGGGGAGAGGCTGAGGGACTTGGGGCTTTTTAGTCTGGAGAAGAGAAGACTGAGGGGGGATCTGATCAATGCCTATAAATACTTCAAGGGAGGGTGTCAAGAGGATGGGGCTGGTCTTTTTTCAGTGGTGCCCAGGGACAGGACAAGAGGAAATGGGCACAAACTTGAACATAAGAAGTTCCATCTAAACATGAGGAGGAACTTCTTCACTTTGAGGGTGGCAGAGCCCTGGCAGAGGCTGCCCAGGGAGGTGGTGGAGTCTCCTTCTCTGGAGACATTCAAACCCACCTGGACACGTTCCTGTGGGACCTGCTCTGGGTGGACCTGCTTTGGCAGGGGGTTGGACTAGGTGATGTCCAGAGGTCCCTTCCAACCCCGTATCATACTGTGTTTCTGTGATCTTTATTACTGCTGGTTTCTATACTTTCTATACTATGCTAAGCCCACAGACAACTGCAAGGTGAGAGAAAGAGATGGTACATGACAGGTAGAAGAGAGGGACCCTGAAAGGAAACAAAGAAAAAAATGGATAGAATAGAAAGAAATGAAGAAAGGGTAACAAAGCAGAGTACTGGGAAAGGATAGGGAACACAAATGCAGACCTGGAGCAAGTGTAAGTGACCCAGACTTTTAAAATGCTCTGACTGCTACAAACTATTTGAGTATATAAATTAATATATCAGCTTTTTAATTTTCAGCTTCATATTTACTATATCACCATTTTTCCCAGAACAATACAAGGCAGACTTTGACTTCGAGGAGCATATTATTGATGCATCCCCAATGTCCCTATCTGTTAAGCAACACTGTGCAGTACAACGTAAAAACAGAGAAAAAGGTCACTGAACTCACCTTTCCTGCAATTTCCACTTCCTTTTTATCTTTATTTGCATGTCCAGCCAGAATCTTCATTTGAATCATTCCTGTTACAGCAATAGTTGGCACAACAGTTAAAAGCAGAAGAGACAGCTGCCAGCCACAGACTGCTGTTTGTTTTTCTGTTTGAACAAAAACTACAGTTTTTTTGTTAAAACTGGAGTTTTAATGCTGATTTTAGGATCATCAAACCAGCTGATCTCCTGTAACATGAAATAGAGTTACTTCTGTCTGCACATCACCCAGTTAGGCTACATAAGAGAACTTAATCACTTTGGATTACAGTGGGATGACGCACATTATATGGGGTTCTTTCCATGTAACTGTAAATACAATAGACCTAAAAGTTTAATAAAGATACAGGAACACAAACCTCAAACCTAAGGTGTGTGAGCAATCTGTATATCCTTTTGTGCAAAAGCACAAACACCACCACACCAATTCATAGCCAATGTAGCTTTACAATAAATTTTTCACTTGTGAATTTAAAGTGGTTTTGATGATCAGATGCTCACTAAATAACAATACTAAGGAATTTACCATTTGTACTTGAGTGTCAAGTACTTGAGTGTTTAACATGAATCTCCAAAGACTACTAACTAAACAGTATACTTTCTCCTGCTATAAAGCTAAAAATACATCTTCATTCTCTGTCAGTTACAAGTACTGTGAAAACTGTAAGCCTGCTGTGAAGTGGTGTGGAAGTCTGAGTGTTGCTGCAAAATTTCTGAGAAGACACATGTAAAATGCTACGCAGTGCTGGGGATTGCTCAAGACTCCCTCTTCCTCATCTGAAAGACTATTATCAGGGAAAGCAATCTTGTCAGTCATATACTTTTGTATCTCATTAGCAATTCAGATTAAATGGTCAGAGGGATCAGTGATTGGGAAGCACTTATTTGAAAAAAAAAAAAGAAAAAGTCTGAATTCAATGCAAAACATTTGTATAATTTAAACCCAGGAAGTAAAAATAAAATGTTCACTCTATCTGTCCTCCACATTTGCCAAATATCAAACCTGAAAGATCATTATCATGAAACAATCTAAGTGTTTCTATTACTTTATAAATACATAATTATTAGCAACAGTATGGTATTTTTGTGTAATAGCTGTTCATAAGGTTACTGTAAGAGCTTTTGTATTTCCTGCCATTAGTGTATAAATGCATAACCTTTAAACATCAACAAACATGCCACAGTATGATTTCTTGGGGTTTTATTGAGGGTGAGGAATTATTTTTAAGGGCAGTAAAGTATTATATTCTTAAATACAGTAATAAAAAAAAAAATAAATGTAATGCAAACAGTTTCAATCTGGCTGTAGGCTGGTGTGGGCAGATGGCTGCTCTGGTGTTAGTGAGACACAGAATGCACCACGTGTATGTGGGCTGCAGCTGGTCAGACAGCCAGGTCCCATGCATGGAGTTAGCTGACCCTGAGGGCAGATCTGAATTTCACCTTCAGTATCTGTCCCGGTTTGAGGTAAAACCGGATCAATTTTGTGTTCTGTAACTTTGCATTTTAGTTAGGCCTTTTCTAACTCTCTGAAATTAACGGCATATTGTGGAGAAAACTGTTCCTTCTCAGAGTGATAAGACCAATGTTTGTGCTACATGCCAGGGAATGGTGTGCAGACAGGTCCTTGCTTATACTTCTTGCTATAACAACCAAGGTCAGGCAAATTTGTTATTTACCCCATTGGAGGGTCGGAAGTGGAAAAGCGTAGAGGGGTCACACCTGTAGAGAGGAACGGACAGGACAGGTGACCCAAAACTGACCAACAGGGTATTCCATCCCATCCGCATCATACTCAGTATAAAAGCTGAGGGATCAAAGGGTCA